TATATATATATATATATTTAGTGACTCAAAGTGATGGTTTAATCTAATTAAATATTTAATATTAACATATCCATCTGACCATGACCATCTCCCTCTTTTACTTATTAATTAGTCATCTTGTCCATCCAGTTTTATATTAATATATGAACGGTAATTTGTTGACGGGGAATACATTCATGCTCCTAGAATATTTAGGAGCATTTAAGATTAAAAAAAATCTAAACATATCTTGTACTAAATTAATGCACTTCTCAAGTATCAGTTTTTAATGTCTGCCGAAAGAAAAACCACTATTTATCAGAAAACGATAAACATAAGTACATAACTTATTGAGTTGGTCTAAGACCATTATTCTAGCTGAGTGATGTTTCTTTTTCTGGGAATTTGAGGAAAAACATGGGGAGGGGATTCTTTTTCTTTTACAATTACAAATCACAGCATGCAAAGGGAAAGTCATGTACATCATTACATAGATCATGCACGGTAGGGTTAAGGACTCTTCCATTTAGTGGTCTTAAACGGATACTGAGGAGGAGATTTTGAAGTCCAGATCCCACAGCTCAAAGGTTCCCTTAACGAAATTGTAATGTGCACCTTTCAAACCAAGTGTTTTCTTCACAACCCCATCTCTCACAAATGGATAAGTCAATAGATTCCCAAGTGATACATTCACAGCTTCCTGCGTTTAAGTGCCAAAGAAAATTAACTTTAACATATAAGAGATATGTAGCATAACTACCATACTAAGTGTCACATACTCACATAGCTTATTAGAAACAAGTTATGACACCATATAACAAAGTGGTGTGGGACGTAGAGCTCCTCAAGTAAAAGTTACTTACCTTCTCGCAGTTCGTACACTGCTCCGAGAATTCTAATGCACTTGCTTCTGTTTTAACCTTGGACTTTGCTGGAGTACAAATTTGGACCCAATTCTCTATGAATTCACTGCACGAATTTAAGTAGAACGTTAAATTCATGGAAATCACCGTATAGTACATAAAATAAAATTCATCAGGGAATCTAGTAAGCAATAAATCAAATAACTAGTATTGATTATGATATTCAAACAATCTTCCCACCAAAAAAAATTATATGATTAATTTTCTAATATATATAAACATCTTTCCTTTCTCATATACCCTTTGAACATTAATATAATGTGACTTATATAGCATGACAGTGGAACGGGAATATTTCTCAAACGTTGCCCCTTAATTATTCTGTTACCTACAATAAGGTGTGATCAACTGGGAATGAAAACTGTTTATTTACTGGTTAGGTTTGGAGGCTGGCATGTGAGTGATGACTCTACTTAGCATTTTAGGACTGAAAAAAGGGATCGGTGAACCACCAAGTTACTTGGAAATTCTAAAAAGTAATCAAAATAGTTTAGAATTTTCGCATGTACTTTTGTTTTGGTTATAAATATAACATATGTACTTTCGGTACTAATCCTTTTGGCATGCAAAATTATTAATTTAATCCTTCTTTTATGAGATGCAACCAATAATAAGGTGGATTTTACCTTGCAGTGGTCCCGTCATCTGGGATAGACATGAGGCCCTTTATACCTCCACAGCAGCTGTGTCCAATGACCACAATATTCTCCACCTGTATAAGACATTCCCTTTAGAACCAACCACCACAAAAATAAACAAGTAAAAGGCTATTCTAGTTTTAAAGAAAGGCATTTTGTTCATCCATCCCTGCACCACTATCACTAACTTATCCACTTTCTCCCTTTATTTTCCTCATTTATTTTCTTCGTGATTCTGAATGGAAGGTGTGGTGGGTAGGTATCGGGTTACAATTCGACAAAAACGACCTAATTCGTAATAAAATAGTAAATAATGGAAATATATATCAAATCTTATATATTTAATAATTTTTTATATAATACAAATTTAGTCAATCTAACTATTTAATTATATAATACAATACTCAATATTATGTATATTAAAATTTACATGACTTGAACTTTTTTTTACATGTTTATCAAAAATGAATATTTACATATATTTTAAATATATCATTATATATTAAAATAAAATAATATAATGAACTATTAAATAATTTATAATCATGTAAAGTTTAATATATATATATATATATATATATATATATATAGATAAATAGGTAGATAGATAAGAGTATAGATGGTTAAAAATAAATGATAATCATACTACTCATTTATATATCATTTAAAAAATGTGTGATAAAATAAGTGGAGATAAAGAGAGAGAATAGTAATATATAAAGTTTCATAAAGTATATTATATGAATAGTATAAGTGTTTCCAATATCTATCAACTAAACCATTTTTGGACTGTGTTTATCTAAAAATGGTTGTGTAACATTTTCCCAACTTAATATACTGTTTTTTCATGTGAAAGAGGGAACTCTAGATGCGTGTGGCTCCCTACAAATAATGAAGCATAGACTATTTCTCAGCCACCAAACGTTCTACTTTTCACATGCATGACCCACCCACTTTATATTATAGGGGAAAAAAAAGTGGATGGCTATTTATTTACCTTTAAATGTAAGACTGCATATTCAATGGCCGCCCCTGTTCCTGAATACATCGTCTGAAATAATTAACAAAAGGGCAAGTCAAACATTTGGATTGGAAACACACTAATTGACGACGAATTTGTGACATTCAATCACTGTACATTTTAATTGCTCTTTAATAGCATTGCATTACATGACATTAGTCAAACATTTGATAGACAAATTAAACCTTGTCATATGGTGGAACCATGTTGGCGATATTTCGGACCACAAAGGCTTCACCCGGTTGGAAATCCAGAATATGGGATGGGCAAACTCTCGAGTCTGAGCAAGCAAACACCATAAACTGCAAGAGTGGGAAATGCAATTACAATAATAAGTAATTAGCATTTATCAATACTTAATCAAAGAGTCATCCAATAATTTTTTATAGAATGAGAATTAATAAACTTTAATTAAAACTTATTGCAACAAGTTACAAATAGTCAACTTTTACAAGTTTGCACATAAAATTTGTTGAAATAATTAGATTTCTTTCCTCCCTAAAATGGAAGGTATTCAAACTAGTTATTATATTTTGAGGCTTTTGTTCATTAAGAAATGATTTTATTTTCTAGAATTTTTCCAAAGTTGTGTGATGACCTGATTTGTCTTTGAAAAGGAAGAGAAACTTGAAAACAATCAAGTCAAACACTATTTGTTTAATAACATAAGGTCAGTTCTTAAAAATTGCTACAAATAATACTTTATACGTATGGATATCAAAAGTCATAAAAGCATACATGAAAATAATTAGAGAAATGAGATTGACGAAGACCATTTCCTGATTGAAACAATTACATTGTAGAATAATAATAGTTCACGGATGCGCGTACGTTTGACAACGTAATTCATAATTTAACTTCTAAAACAGTGGACTCGGTCTCATTTATACACTGTTTAGGGAAATTGACCCTACGAATCGCGCAATGGACAATTATGAAAATCAAATTAAGTCAAATAACGTGTCTGACCTTTGGACTCTGGCCTTTGGCAAGTTCACCATATAATTCTGGATTCTTCCTGAAATAACAATAACAATAACAATAATAAATAAATAAAAACAAATTAAGAACAACCAACCACCCAATGAAACTGTGATTTCTTCTCTAGTTAAAATCCAAAGTAAATTAAAACGAGTATTTGTCATGATCAACACCTCCAAAAACGAAGGTTGAGAACACAAAAAAACAAGGTCATTTTTTCTAATCAGAGTTGGATATCCATAGAGTAAGCACAATTTTTTTAAGACAAACTACAATGATTTGTTATTTATTAAAAAATAATAATTGAGATTTGATAAAAACACATACATACATGTAATAGATTTTAGAATTATTAAAATCTTAATAATTAATTTTGTAATTAAATGCTAAATGTGTTTACTTTTCTCATACAAACACAATGGCTCACAATCATTGATGCGCATACTTTATTTTTGTCATGTTAACCATTTACAAGACAATAGTTAGCAATAGATGCGTATGTTGTCTTGTTAACCATAAATCATGATAAAAGCACGCTTATAACACTCTTTATAATATATATATATATATAGGAAGTATATTAAATGAGAAAAAATTTATTATGAGAGATGAGAGGGTTAAAATATAATTCTTGAATTAATTTTCTCTCATTTGATTAAATCTCAAATTTTCTCTCACTTAATTAATTTAAAAGTTATATTTTAACTCTCTCATCTCTCTCGTAATAAATTCTCTCTCGTATCTTTCCTATATATATATATATATATATATATATATATATATATATATATATATATAACTCTTTTAACTACTAGTAGTAATATTTTAACATGTACCCATAACTTAGTAATTAAGGTGGGAGATGTGTGATCCCTTATGATGATTCTCCATGTGATCTGTTCAATTTATAATTAAAGGTCAACTTACTATGTCGCTTATCACACTTAAATAAGAAAAGTACCATTAAGACGTGTCTCTCAGCTTTTTGAGGTTGTGAGCGAAATGGGACCCACACCAAATGAATTCCATGGTAACAGAAACTTATACTGATATGATAAGTGCTCCAAACGCAATAACCTTTCACTTCATCATCCACCGACAAGCCGTTTGTTCTAATTGGATTAAGGTATCAATAATTTTTCCATAACTTATAAAATCCTTTAAAAGTTCGTTAATTAAAATTAATTTATATATAAGAAAAATTCTCATATTAATTTCTTAAATCATTAAATTATAAATAAGAATTAAAACTTAAAAAACTAATTTTCATTTTTATTTTTTAAATATTATAGAAAAATTTATTCAAACATGAATTAAATGAAGTCAGATTTGTAAATGAAGTCATCGATGAAATTAATATATTTTGTAATTAATGATATAAATAATAATTATATTTAAATATATAAATTTATATTTTAGATTAATAATAAATAAGAAGTTGGAACAGGCTAGAAGGGGCAGCAAAGGTAATTGACAATGCATAAACAGTGAAACGAAACGCATATTCTACGCAGACAAAGACAACGTCTTACGTCGAGGTTCGGAATTTCAAACTGAAACGATAATAGGCGAAGACCATAATAAGGATAGACAATACTCACTGAAATTTCTCACTCTTGAAGTTGGCGAACCCGGTTCGGATCCTCTCGTCCGGGTTAAACGCCTTCGACCGGTCGGCCTCCAGCTCCGCCGTCAACTGCTTGATCTTGGCGGCGGCGACGCCACCGAGGTCCGCTTTCTCGCTGCCAAAACAAAAGCAAAAACAAAAGGTCATAACTAACGCGTCAGTGCCGGGCCCACAGGCCCAAGGATTGGGCTGGGCGGGGCCCACTGCCACCACCTCCTCGTTCGCCCATACAAAACAAAACGCGGTTTCGTTTGGTAAGTCGAGAATGGCGGAGGAACCCACGCCAAACCACAACAACAACGTTCTTTTACTTTTCTCATAATTGAGAACAGAGGAAACGGTTCTGTGGAGTTTCTTCGCTCAGAATTAAAAAAAAAAAAAAAAAAAAAAAAAAAAAAAAAACTAAAACATCACATTTATCCTTTGCGTCGTTCACTCCTCAAGGCTGGGGGGCTTGTGTACCGGAAGGGTCCTATCGACCACGTGGACCGACACGTGACGTCCTATCGG